GTCCATGTAGAGGAAATTATGAACAGTTCCAAATACCAGTCAATATTGGCACAAAACCTTCCGGCTTCTGCTAGAAAGCTGAACATGAAGAGGTACTTCGCCTTTCAGCATGACAACCACCCAAAGCATCCATCCACATCCATACACAAAGGAACGGCTTCACCAGAAGAGGAAAGTTCTGGAATGGCCCAGCCAGAGCCCAGACCTGAATCCAATGGACAATCTGCGGGTGATCTGAAGAGGGCTGTGCGCAGGAGATGACATGCAATCTGACAGATCTGGAGAGTGGGAAAATATTGCCAAGTCAGGATGTGCCGTGCTGATAGACTCCTCCCCCAAAAAGACGGAGTGCTGGAATCACATCAAAAGGGGCTTCAACAAAAGGATTAGTGTAAGGGTGTGAACACTTATGCAACCAGATTATTTTTTATTTTTTAATTCCCTCCACCTAAAAGATTTCAGTTTGTTGTTCCAACTGAGATACAGTTTATAGGTCACATTAAAAAGGTGGAAAAAGTTCTGAATTGATTTATCTTTGTCTCTTTTTGGACATCACAGAAACATTTTAAAAGGGGTGTGTAGACTTTTATATCCACTGTATCCCATAGTTTGTAGACGCTATAACTGCCACACAAACCAATCAATATTAAAGTGTTCCTGAACCCCCAACAGTACAATCAGTCTGTAGATGCAGTAAAGCATGCTTGTTATACTCACTGTGGGACCTAAGGGGCTAATCCTCTGCACTGTGTAAAAAGGATGTTTGATCCTGTCTTCTCTGATCCTCCCCTTCTTCCAGTGTCCCCCTCTTATCGTCTAAGACATATCGTGTGAAGACAATCTGCACATACTCAGTTTGGTGTGTATTACTAGACTAGTTTTTTTTTTCCTTGGGAGAGTGCATGTGATCAAGACAGGGTCAAATCAGCACTGTCCAGACAGAGGGTTAGGGGTTCTGCATCCTCCTAGAGCAGAAGAAAAAAAATCCTCCTACAAGCTTTTGCTCTGCTGGACACTGATAGAAGTCACAAGACTGCTATAGATTGCTGAGAAAAGGGATTTAGCAGTTTATATTTACTAAAATAATTACATTTCTATGTTGTGTGTACTGTGGGAGACCGGATACAGTGAACGCGGGGTCCGGGGAGAGCGGATACAGTGAACGCGGGGTCCGGGGAGAGCGGATACAGTGAACGCGGGGTCCGGGGAGAGCGGATACAGTGAACGCGGGGTCCGGGGAGAGCGGATACAGTGAACGCGGGGTCCGGGGAGAGCGGATACAGTGAACGCGGGGTCCGGGGAGAGCGGATACAGTGAACGCGGGGTCCGGGGAGAGCGGATACAGTGAACGCGGGGTCCGGGGAGAGCGGATACAGTGAACGCGGGGTCCGGGGAGAGCGGATACAGTGAACGCGGGGTCCGGGGAGAGCGGATACAGTGAACGCGGGGTCCGGGGAGAGCGGATACAGTGAACGCGGGGTCCGGGGAGAGCGGATACAGTGAACGCGGGGTCCGGGGAGAGCGGATACAGTGAACGCGGGGTCCGGGGAGAGCGGATACAGTGAACGCGGGGTCCGGGGAGAGCGGATACAGTGAACGCGGGGTCCGGGGAGAGCGGATACAGTGAACGCGGGGTCCGGGGAGAGCGGATACAGTGAACGCGGGGTCCGGGGAGAGCGGATACAGTGAAACGCGGGGTCCGGGGAGAGCGGATACAGTGAACGCGGGGTCCGGGGAGAGCGGATACAGTGAACGCGGGGTCCGGGGAGAGCGGATACAGTGAACGCGGGGTCCGGGGAGAGCGGATACAGTGAACGCGGGGTCCGGGGAGAGCGGATACAGTGAACGCGGGGTCCGGGGAGAGCGGATACAGTGAACGCGGGGTCCGGGGAGAGCGGATACAGTGAATGCGGGGTCCGGGGAGAGCGGATATAGTGAATGCGGGGTCCGGGGAGAGCGGATACAATGCGGGGTCCGGGGAGAGCGGATACAGTGAATGCGGGGTCCGGGGAGAGCGGATACAGTGAATGCGGGGTCCGGGGAGAGCGGATACAGTGAATGCGGGGTCCGGGGAGAGCGGATACAGTGAATGCGGGGTCCGGGGAGAGCGGATACAGTGAATGCGGGGTCCGGGGAGAGCGGATATAGTGAATGCGGGGTCCGGGGAGAGGGGATATAGTGAATGCGGGGTCCGGGGAGAGCGGATATAGTGAATGCGGGGTCCGGGGAGAGCGGATATAGTGAATGCGGGGTCCGGGGAGAGCGGATATAGTGAATGCGGGGTCCGGGGAGAGCGGATATAGTGAATGCGGGGTCCGGGGAGAGCGGATATAGTGAATGCAGGGTCCGGGGAGAGCGGATATAGTGAATGCAGGGTCCGGGGAGAGCGGATATAGTGAATGTGGGGTCCGGGGAGAGCGGATATAGTGAATGCGGGGTCCGGGGTTTAGTAACACTTTAATGGGAATTCATTTTTTTTTTTTTTACCGAAGACATGCAGCAGAATACATTTTGGCCTAAATTTATGAAGAAATTAGATTTATATTATTATTTGATATGTTTAATAACAGAAAGTAGAAAACATTTTTCTTTTCAAAATGTTTGGTCTTTTTTTTAATTAAGTAACAAATAAGCCCAGTGGTGATCAGACATCACCAAAAGAAAGCTCTATTTGTGTGAAAGAAATTATATAAATTACATTTGCATACAGTGTTGCACAACAGCGCAATTGCCAGTTAAAGTAGCGCAGTGCTGAATAGCAAAAAAAAAAAAAATAATAATAATAACCCCCCAGTCATGAAGGGGGGGGGGGGGTAAAACCATCCGGAGGTCAAGTATTTATAAATCTGTAATGTGCGCGATTGTCTGCCGGCGTTTGATTGGATTGATTTAAGGAACTGTACAATCCAAGGCCAAAACATCCTGTGCCGTAGCTCCTCCCCCTTTAATGAACACGTACAGATAATCCGCGTGTACGTGCTTCCCATACCAGGACACGCAAAGAGACATCGCTGACTCGGCATGCTGGGATAATCTGTTTTTTTGGATCGGCGTCCATTGCAAGCTTAACCCCCCTGTACTGGACCGAATTCTTACAGGCAGACCACTCTGAGTCCGAGGGCAGAAGCGATCGGTGAATTCATAAGAATCCGCCGCCAATGCCGAAGTCTGAGATCTGCGTTCCGCGACACCCCCTGGACTTTGTGTGCGATGGAGGAAAAAAAAAAAAAAAAAAGTGTGTTAATGCTGCCCCCTGGGGACAAAGGCAGGGAACTGACATGAAAATGTCTAAAACACAACGATCTTCACGATCCAAAAAAAAAAAAAAAAAAGCAGAGCGAACAAAATATAAAATGAAAGTATTCCTGGACTGTATTTATAGAGAGCAAGCAGACGCAGTCTCAAAGGGATCGTTCCAGAACCAGCGCAAGCAGTACCGCGCTGCACATATATCTGAAGGGCGCTCAGCTGCAGAGGTGTTACGAGCAACATGGTGGACCAAGCGTGAAGGAAATGGCTGTAAAAATAACAGACTAAATCGCAGCAAATCACTGGAAGAGTCCAAGCTGAAGAGTAATACACAACACAGGATACTTTCCCCTGTTCTCGCCTTTCAACATGAAATCACAATAGTTCAGACGTATCAATTTTTTTTTTTTTAAAAAAGAAACCTCTTGAGATCCAGTGACATCATTGCATCAGTCTGCTGGTTTGGTGGGAGAAGCTGGCGGGTTCCTATAAATTCCACAGCACCCTGCCTCCTTGTATGAAAGAACACATCCCCTGCATCCCATTAGATGTGCATTCTCTCTCCGGCTGGTCGCTTGTTGGCGCAGACTTTAGCTGTACAATTGGCAGTTGCTTAAGCATGCACATTTAAAAGGGATGCAGGGGATGTGTTTTTTTGGCACCACTGACAGTAGAAATGGAGCACTATACCTCACACTGACACAAATGTCCCATCCTTGGTGCCAGTGGCAGGAACAGCGCCCCATCCCTGGTGCCAGTGGCAGGAACAGCGCCCCATCCCTGGTGCCAGTGGCAGGAACAGCGCCCCACCATTGGTGTCAGTGGCAGGAACAGCGCCCCATCCCTGGTGCCAGTGGCAGGAACAGCGCCCCATCCCTGGTGCCAGTGGCAGGAACAGCGCCCCATCCCTGGTGCCAGTGGCAGGAACAGCGCCCCACCATTGGTGTCAGCGGGAGGAATAGTGCCCCGTCATTGGTGTCAGCGGGAGGAATAGTGCCCCGTCATTGGTGTCAGCGGGAGGAATAGTGCCCCGTCATTGGTGTCAGCGGGAGGAATAGTGCCCCGTCATTGGTGTCAGCGGGAGGAATAGTGCCCCATCATTGGTGTCAGTGGGAGGAATAGTGCCCCATCATTGGTGTCAGTGGGAGGAATAGTGCCCCATCATTGGTATTAGTGGGAGGAATAGTGCCCCATCATTGGTGTCAGTGGAGGGAATAGTGCCCCATCATTGGTGTCAGTGGGGGGAATAGTGCCCCATCATTGGTGTCAGTGGGAGGCATAGTGCCCCATCATTGGTGTCAGTGGGAGGAATAGTGCCCCATCATTGGTGTCAGTGGGAGGAATAGTGCCCCATCATTGGTGTCAGTGGGAGGAATAGTGCCCCATCATTGGTGTCAGTGGGAGGAATAGTGCCCCATCATTGGTGTCAGTGGGAGGAATAGTGCCCCATCATTGGTGTCAGTGGGAGGAATAGTGTCCCATCATTGGTATCAGTGGAAGGAATAGTGCCCCATCATTGGTATCAGTGGGAGGAATAGTGCCCCATCATTGGTGTCAGTGGGAGGAATAGTGCCCCATCATTGGTGTCAGTGGGAGGAATAGCGCCCCAAACGCTGAATAAGGGCAAGCAAAGGGCCACATCTGACCCTCGAGCCGCTGTTTGGAGACCACGGATCTAAACGAGAACCTTCAGACAGACGTATCGGACAGAACACACACACACACCCGCGCCGCGCTCTGGACTCACTCACCGTGATCTTCATAGGGATCGTTGGGATCGTCTGCTATCAGCTCCGCACTGCTTGGCGTGTCATGATCTTCTTTGGTAACAAAAATGATTTTGTCCTTTCCTAAATGAGAACAGAAAAGATCGATGACGATTGAGAAGGTATTCCAACCGACGAGTACGGAGCGATGTGTGCTTCTCTAGGTATTCGGTGACAACCCTGAACAGACTCAAGCATTTTAACTTGGGGCCATTTATTTAAAAAAAACACAAAAAAATTAAAATTAAACAAAAAAAACCCCAAAACAAACACCAACAAAAAAACAAAAAAGACACCAACAAAACAAACACCAACAAAAACAAACACCAACAAAAACAAACACCAACAAAAAAAAACACCAACAAAAACAAACACCAACAAAAACAAACACCACCAAAAACAAACACCAACAAAAACAAACACCAACAAAACAAACACCAACAAAACAAACACCAACAAAAACAAACACCAACAAAAACAAAACACCAACAAAAACAAACACCAACAAAAACAAACACCAACAAAACAAACACCAACAAAACAAACACCACCAAAACAAACACCACCAAAACAAACACCAACAAAACAAACACCACCAAAACAAACACCACCAAAACAAACACCAACAAAACAAACACCAACAAAACAAACACCAACAAAACAAACACCACCAAAACAAACACCACCAAAACAAACACCAACAAAAAAACCCCAAAAAACACAAAAACCCCCAAAAAAACTGCACAGCGATTCGCTCAGCAGCAAACCTCCATGTTCTGTGTGAATTGGGCAAAACCAATATTTTATTACTATGGGCGGCAGTAAAATACGGCATTATGTCCGCTACATAGAGATACGCAGGTCCTTGTGACATGAGATACAATGTAACAGTTCTGGAGAACACTAGAGGGAATTAGAAGATAAATGGAACCAATAGATGTCTCTCCTGCACTCCTGAGCTCCATCCTCTCCTCTGAATGTTCTTTCATTATGGGCGGTAGTAATACTGCATTATGGCCACTACGGGGAGCCGAGGAGCACAGGCAATACATTGTTTAGGCGCGGTTCACACCAAGGCGTTTTTTTATGGCATTTTTGCAGAAAGGCACTACAGTCCATGTAACATGGTTTCCTATGCGACACGTTCATATCTATGCTTTTTTCAGTCGCTGCCGTAGTGGAAAGGGTCAAGGACTTTTTTTTCTTTTTGGAAACATAACACGGTGCGTTTTTGGTTCAATAGACTAAAAATGGACACATGGCAGAAACGCATGCAGTCCTTTTTTTCCTGTTTTTTTTTTTCCTGCCAATAGGAAAGTATTGACTTTGATGCGATTTTGATGCAACTTTGGATAGATGCAACTTTTATGCAACTTTTTTTTTTTGGGGATAATAAGGAAATATGACAGTTCTGTTCATGTAGTACGACTTTGATGTGACTTTACACTGTGGCACTCAAGTAGCATCAAAGTCGCATCCATGTCACACCCATCCAAGGTTGCATTCAAGCCGCACCCATCCACAGTTGCATCAAAGTTGTGCCCATCCAAAGTCGCACCCTTTTCAAGTCACATCAAAGTCGCACCCAAAGTAACATCAAAGTAACATCAAAGTCGCACTCCTTCAAAGTCACATCAAAGCCACACTCCTTCAAAGTCACATCAAAGCCGCACCCAAAGTCACATCAAAGCCGCACCCAAAGTCACATCAAAGCCGCACCCAAAGTCACATCAAAGCCGCACCCAAAGTCACATCAAAGCCGCACCCAAAGTCACATCAAAGTCGCACCCAAAGTCACATCAAAGTAACATCAAAGCCGCACCCAAAGTCGCATCAAAGCCGCACCCAAAGTCGCATCAAAGCCGCACCCAAAGTCGCATCAAAGCCGCACCCAAAGTCGCATCAAAGCCGCACCCAAAGTCACATCAAAGTCGCACCCAAAGTCACATCAAAGTCGCACCCAAAGTCACATCAAAGTCACATCAAAGCCGCACCCAAAGTCACATCAAAGCCGCACCCAAAGTAACATCAAAGTAACATCAAAGTCGCACCCAAAGTCACATCAAAGCCACACTCCTTCAAAGTCACATCAAAGCCACACTCCTTCAAAGTCACATCAAAGCCACACTCCTTCAAAGTCACATCAAAGCCGCACCCAAAGTCACATCAAAGCCGCACCCAAAGTCACATCAAAGCCGCACCCAAAGTCACATCAAAGCCGCACCCAAAGTCACATCAAAGCCGCACCCAAAGTCACATCAAAGCCGCACCCAAAGTCACATCAAAGCCGCACCCAAAGTCACATCAAAGCCGCACCCAAAGGCACATCAAAGCCGCACCCAAAGGCACATCAAAGCCGCACCCAAAGGCACATCAAAGCCGCACCCAAAGGCACATCAAAGCCGCACCCAAAGTCACATCAAAGTCACACCCATCCAAAGCTGCATCAAAGTTGTGCCCATCCAAAGTCCCACCCAAGTCGCATCAAAGTCCCAACCATCCAAAGTCACATCAGTCAATGCTTTCCTAGTGACATGAAAAAAAATGAATGCGCGTCAAACTTATGTTCCAAAGTGCAAAATCCACTGCAAATGGTTCTGGAAAAAACGCATCAATCACAACACACAGTGGTGTGGACCCAGCCTAAGATTCTCTAGAATTGTTACATTGTATCTCTTGTTGGGTGTATGTATTTCCTATGCTCCTCAGCTCCATCTAGTGCAGGGAAGTTGAATTCCTATCACCCGACGCCTGGGACATGTAGCTCCGGGCAGGTAGGTTTTTTTTTTTTTTTTTTTTAACCTTCAGCCCTGCTGCGGGCAAGCAGCAGGGCTCACATATCAGGTGGAAGCATTTGGGCGACAGCAGCTTGTCCTGGTTGAGAGATTCCCGGCAATTGAGGCTCGGAAAGAATGTAATACGGTGTGATGTGCACTGCGTTACATTCAGGGGAGCAGAGGGGAGACATCCGGGGTCTTTTAGACCTTGGATGTCTCAATAGGGAGAACCGGTCACCAAAAAAATCAGCACATGTGATAAAAGAAAAAAAGTAAAAAAAAAAAAAAAAAAAAACGTAAAAAAGAACGTAAAAAAAAAAAAAAAAAAAAACGTAAAAAAGAACGTAAAACGTAAAAAAGAACGTAAAAAAAAAAAAGTAAAAAAAAGAACATAAAAAAGAACGTAAAAGAAAAAAAAAAAAACGTAATTTTTTTTTTTTTTTTTAATTGGAAAAAATGAACGTTACACCCAAGAACATAACATACCCCCCAAAAAACTGAGCCCCCCACACATGTACAAAGTACACGCTGGGGCGCCTACGCATGAAACCGTCGATTGCGATACAAGTTACGTATCGCCGCACACGCCAGAACGAAAGCAATAATTCTAGCACCAGACCTCCTCTAACTATACTGATGACCTAGAACAGGGGTGGGCAAACTTTTTGACTTGAGGGCCGCAATGGGTTCATATATTGGACCCGGGGGCCGGACCAAGAGTAGATGAATGATGTGTATGTGTCATCCATAGTAAGTATAGTAATATTCCCCCATAGTAATTCATCCCCCATAGTAATTCATACCCCATATAGTAATTCATCCCCCATATAGTAATTCATCCCCCCTATAGTAATTCATACCCCATATAGTAATTCATCCCCCATATAGTAATTCATACCCCATATAGTAATTCATCCCCCATATAGTAATTCATACCCCATAGTAATTCATACCCCATATAGTAATTCATCCCCCATATAGTAATTCATCCCCCATATAGTAATTCATCCCCCATATAGTAATTCATCCCCCATATAGTAATTCATCCCCCATATAGTAATTCATCCCCCATAGTAATTCATCCCCCATATAGTAATTCATCCCCCATATAGTAATTCATCCCCCATAGTAATTCATCCCCCATATAGTAATTCATCCCCCATATAGTAATTCATCCCCCATAGTAATTCATCCCCCATATAGTAATTCATCCCCCATATAGTAATTCATCCCCCATATAGTAATTCATCCCCCATAGTAATTCATCCCCCATATAGTAATTCATCCCCCATATTAAGTCCCCAAGTCCCCCCCGTGTCAATTCACTTACCTTTGCTCCGCGCGTTCCTCTCGCCATGTTCCCGCGCCGTTCCGGTGTAGCATGAAAATCTGTCTCCTATGAGGATCTGTCCCCCTCGACGTATCTGCGCATGTGCCAGTTTCAGGCATTAGCGGCCGATCTGCGATCTCCGGCACATGCGCAGATACGTTGAGGGGGACAGATCCTCATCATAGGAGAGAGATTTTCATGCTACACCGGTCTTCAGGGCGGACTGTGAGAGGAGCCTAGCTCCGCGGGCCGGATTAAAAGGTCCGCCGGGCCGTAGTTTGCCCATTGCTGACCTAGAAGGAGCTTTTAAAAGTGTCCCCCATATAAAATACAGGGTACTGAAGTTCGTCGTCATTTCGCGAGCGCACACAAAGATTTGACAAGTTGAATATCGATTTACTCGCTGCAACCTCGTCTTTTATATTTTACAAAAAAAAATAGGGTAATTTATTACTTTTTTTATGTCCTAAAATTAACCAAACTAGTATTTTTTTACTGAAATTTTGCAGTAATATGTGGCATAAAAAACTGGAACTACAACTATTTTATTCTCTCGAGTCTCCGATTTCAGAAAATATATCATGTTTGTGGGTTTTGTGTAATTTTCAGGCCTAAAAATGATTTTTTTGTGCAAAAATAAAAAAAAAAAACTTAAAAAAGGCTCTGGCAGCAAACGGGATAACAGTATAAGCCCGACACGCCCCTTTCCATGTGACGGTGCTGACCAATCAAAAGTTCTCTAACCCGAACTGTCACTGCAAGGAAATACTCGGTATCAGGGCATCTCTAGTATCCATTCACCTGGCACAACCTCGTCTTTTATATTTTACCAAATATTTGGCCAATTCATAATTTGATTTCCTTAAAATTCACCTTAGTGCATTTTTTTTTTTTTTTAACTGAAATTTGGGGTTTTTTAGACCTTCCCGGTAATATCGCATGACATAAAAGATTGGAACTACCACAATGTTATTCTCCATGGTGTCTGTTGTC